GAGAGGTACTGATATTTCAAATTCATCAAATTCTTCTATTTCGTTATATACGTTCATCTAAATTAGTTTCAGGTAATACTAATCAAAGGCCGAAATTCACGGCCTTAATTTTTTTTCATGTAAAAGTTACATAACTATCGCATATTAATATTGTGGACCGAATAATTTATTTAAATGTAATAAACTATATAAAGCCAGTCTTCAATCTCTTAATTAATCTCAACACAAATATAACTACCACTATAATAATCAAACAGTATACAACAAAAAAATTAATTAACAAAAACCAAAAATTATAGAAAACTCTTTAAAAACTTCAATCGACTTCGAAAATGATTCTATGGATGAAGCTTCGAAGAAGAGATTCGTGATGATTCTGTAGAAAATTTGGTTTATCTTGATGATTTTAATGAGAAATCTAGCATGGGTTCTGAAGCAGCAGCATCACATAATGAGCTTTTATATTTGATTGGCATTCATTGGAAAACCTACAAGAAAAAACTGAATATACTAAAGAATTGGATGAACTTTCTGAAAGTGATGATGAACTTTTTGAAAGTGATAACGAAATAGAAGAATTTGATGAATTTGAAATATCAGTACCTCTCTCTTCTGATGACAATATTGAGTTAATGCGTTGTGCTGTTGTTGAAAATAACGATAATCCAAGCATAATTTAAAGATGCAATAACGTGGCCAATCTTAACGTAAATTTGTTCTAGCCATCTTAACTATGACCAAAAAGTTATACATAAAGGCTTGAAATCTATACTGACATCTAAAGTTAGCATGATAAACTTGCGTCTCTGTCTCTTCTGCAATAAATATAAATATGTCTTCACAAGAGGTAGAACATGCCTATATCATACATGGCAAGTAAGTGGATGTACAATTCAGACTCCATGTCATGGTCTATTCAACTGTCTAGCGATTTCTAAATATGATAAGTTGTCAATGAAATTATATGAGGGTGATAGACCTCAATACATTTGTACAAACTGTTTTGTGATTTATGGAGATCATTTACAGATTCGATTAAAAGCACCCAATCCTTCAGTTTTATGTTCAGAACAAGGACAACATAATGCTGATACTAAATCTACCTTAAAGTTTTTTAGTAAGTGGATCGAACTGACTGCTGTATCTAAAAATGAAGCTGCAAAAAATAACTTGTTAAAAGAACTTATCAAAATTTTTAATAATATCATCACTAACCTTAATGAACAAGATGCTGATAATTCATCTTCTACTTCTTTACTTCCAAGCCCTCTTCTAATAAAAACAGCATTTATAATTAGAAATATAAGAGTTAACGAAGAACAAGTACTACCATTAACAGACACTAATTGCAAAGCTTTTGAAAAAGCTCTATATTACAAGAAAGATCTGAGCTCAAAAAAAGGTTATCATCACTTGAAGAGCCAGAATCTTCTGACAAATATAGAAGTGCTATGCTATTGTCTTTTATTAATTTTTTTACTAGCTTAATTTTGGCAATAGAAGAGAAAAAAATGCAAGTGTTAGCCAGAAAATGAAAAGAAAGAAATATGCATCCATCACAGTTAAATGAAAAAAAAATAGCTTCAATTTCTCTTTTTTTTATTCTATTATACTTACCACTACCTTTCAACATTGAAAAATATAGTTTATACTGCTCTTTCTTCTCTTTGTCGGTGGCCAAAAATGATAGGATCATTATACCAAATTATTCATGCAGTTCAGACAGTATCATACGTTAGAGATCATAAAACACATGTCCAAAAAAAAAGAATGTTATATGCAAAACCTTCATTGAGACTTAATCGAAGTTCAAATGTTTTGAATATTGTAGCCATAGACAACATTGATATGAAAAATGAAACCTTCTAGTATGCAATATTTTTGATGCAGTTCACAATACTGCACATGCAACAGTGCAAATAGTTTTTCAATTCCAATATTCAGAGCCCATCAACTTGAACGAACTGATCAAAAGTCAAAATCTTTTTGGAGTGAGCCTGATTATGCAAAAGTGGCAAAAAGAAGTAAATATAGTATTTAGCCAATTAGTTAGCCAAAATTCACAATTTGACATTGCTGATATTGATGCAGTCATTAAAAAAATATTAACTCAGCATTATTTGCAGCACCCCCGAATATCATAATTCTTGAACCTGGCAAAGCACTAAACAAAAACAGCATATTCATGAGTCTATTGATATGTATCTAGAAGATTTTAGTTATACAGAAAATAATATATTAAATTTAGTATGTGATGAAGCAATTTATTATCACAGAAAGAATTACAAGAGTGAAGAGCAAACAGTACATTGTATTTTAGGCTAATGGTATATAAGCAAAGTGATATGTAGTGTACTAATCTTTGCCTTTTCCAGTTATAGACTTTTTGGCCTTGCTGCATAGCTTGGTGTTAAATTTTTTGATAAACTTGAAAAAGTTATCGACTATTGTACAACATTTCGAGTACTGAAACTTATATAGACAGTGGTTGAAGTTGCAATTTATAAATATATTAAAGAGAAAAAAATTTCTATTCATGATATTTCTAAAGAAAACAATAACATTTTAAAAGTGTGGTATAACTTTTACTGGTGGGTAGAGTATCTGAAATTGCATAAATATGGTATTCAGATGGGTAATTTTGATTTACAAATGCATAGCTTGATGGCATTTGCACCTTTATTTCCTATTACAAAGAGATATAGATATACTAAGTCCGTGGCACAATTTATATCAGATCTACACAATAAGCTGCAACTTCTTAAAGATCTTTGTTTAGTGCCCTCAATTAATTTAACACAGGAAAGGCATTATCTTACTATTGATAAGTTACTAGAAACTTATAGAGTAAAATTTTTAAAAGAAAATATAACTAGTCAGGCAATGAATTCAAAAAATTTAAAACTAAACATCAAAGCAGAACCAAACTGAATATGATAGACTTAATTTGTTAATTTCAAAATTTACTGAAGACTACTCAACAAGCAAAAGTTCACGGTCCATTAAAGATTGCAAAGAATTTGGAAATTGATTGACAAGCTCATAATAGCATTTAGTAGTTAGAGCCAGAATCTTGTACCTTATTCGCAGAAACAACACAATTAACAGATAGTGGTTATCAATAGATGTTTAACTATTATGAATCAGGAATCAAACAAATAGAGATTAATATTAAACAAGATACTCCTATGCAAAAAAAAAAAGAAAATTTAAACAGGTTTTAGTGCCTATGAAGGTAACAAAAGAAAAAAGACATACAGTAGCAGAATCGAGCAATACAACTGAGGAAGTAGTTAGTAAATCTGTACAAATAGAGCAAACTGACAATATGGAAGTCAAAGGAACAAATAACAATGCACCATTATCAGAATCTACAATTCAAGCACCACGCTTAAGAACATGTTTAACTCACAAGCCCTCAACTAATGAAGAAGAAATTCTAAAACAACTTGAAAAATATAAAGATTTTACTGTGCTACTCACGAATGTTCTTAATAATCTGGTTGAAAGTTTGTTGAACTATACTGAATATTGGACTCGAAAACAAATTAGGGATTGGTAGTATAATTAATATAAAAGAGCATAGCAGATAGAGTTTATTATTTTCTTACCCTATAATTAGATAAAATAGTGTTTAATTTTGAGTGAATATACAGAATTGAACTTATTTTAAAAAAAAATTTTGCAAGTAAAGTTAAAATGCAGATATATAAAATAAAGACATCTAATTAATGAGTAATCTACTTACTATAAAACAGTTTTCGTTGATTTTCTTCACTATGTTCATAATGAACCCGCTTTTTAAAAATGCATTTTGGCAAAAGCTCTCACTTGGGTGCATCTACTAATTCACTTTTTATGTTATAAATCTGAAAACCTGAATAGGATTTGACAAAAGTAGGTAAAATAATTGCCTATCTTCAAGAAAGTGGTATTTTGTAAAGAGTGGTTCAATTTTTATGTTCTTTGCATTATTTGACTTGTAAAAATCTCAGCATCAATTTTGTTTTAAGAACTAGTGTGTACTTAGGCTAAGAGTTTCAAAAAAATTTTAAAAATGAAATTATGTAAATTCGTGCTACTTATGAAAATCATATGATAAAAATTTAGATGTGACAAATCAGGTGCCTGTTAAAGTCAGAATTCTAAACGTTACTATAAGCATCTATAATATAAATATGGTGCAAAACATCTATACTAGACAATTATATAACATGTTATAATTTACAAACTACTAAACCTTTTTATGTAAAAGGTTTTAAAAAAACTAATTAGTAATTTTTTAGAGCTATATAAGCTCTATTAAATTTCTGTTTATTTTCAATTTGAAAATTGATAAAAAGCAAAGTTACTAACCTGATTTTAAAAAGTTACTATTTAAATAATAATTAATTTAAAAAAAAAATTAATAAATTTTTTATTTAAACATTTAAAAATACAAGTGTTTTTCAAACAATTAAATTAAATTTAATTTTTTAAAAACTTTTAATAACAAATTTATATTCAATATTATACAGATTTTTAATATTATTAATAATAATAAAAAATAAGTTGTTTTTTTAAATTCTCAAATCTTATTTCTAGTTTCTACAACAAATTTTATTAAAGCACTCTTCTTACATAAGATATTTAAATACCACATTATCTATAAGTTTAAACTTTTTTAAGCTAGAAATTCAAAATATTAAAAAATATCTTAGCGTTAGGTAAATATTTATCAAAAACGAATTAATTCCCTTTTTTGTAAAGTTACGAAATGATCCACAAAAAATTAACCAATCGGGATAAAAATCTTTTACAGTATATAAATTACTAATAGGGTCATGTTGCACCATAACGGGTTTTAATTCTCAAATCAACTTTCTCATTAAACCACAAGAAATTCATGGCATCAAAGATATTTATGGGCGATATGCCTGAATTAATGGAAAATATTCTTAATCATTTAGATAATGAAACTTGTTCCTTATATTCGTGCGCACTTGTGAGCCGATATTGGTGCAAAATGTCAATTCCTATTCTTTGGCAAGATCCGTTTTCATTTAATCAAAGTTCATTATTCATTTCTCAATATTTTTCATCACTTGATGAGAATGAAAAATTCAGTTTGAAAGAATATGGGATAAGTGTAAATTTTCCCAATACGCTATTTAATTATGCGAGATTTTTAAAGGTTCTCGATTTATTAAGTCTAGAAAATAAGGTTAAAGAATGGGTCAACGTTTTCTTGCATGCTAGTCTGAATCAATCTTACAGATCATTGAAATATCAAATAGTTAATTTATTATTTAAATTATTTATAGAGAATGGAGCCATTTTACGCAAATTAAATTTATATTTTTCTGATTATGAACTTAAGCCAGAGATTTTTTACTCATTAGGACGAAGTGACCAATTTTTCTCACGACTCCAAGATTTATCATTAGGTGGAATATCAGATTTCAACATCGAAAGTGCTACTGCGTTATCGAGAATCTTAGCAAAAAGCACTACAAAAATTAATGTTTTGAAACTTGAAGAATTTTATTCAGATTATGAACCACAATTATATCATGCGATTGTATGCGTTATTAAATCACAAGAGCAACTTAAGCAGTTTAGTTTAGTTGGTGAAGAACAGCCTACAGAGTTCCATGGCATCATTTCAGCTTTAGAGAGTCAAAAACAATCATTACAAGAAGCTATAATAGAATATTGTGATTGTAGCGCAGAGTTTAAAGTTCTAACGAACTGTAAAAATTTAAAAATTCTTCGTATCAGATATTGTGATAATGTGAGAATATTCGAGACAAGCCTCAAGGTTTTAGAAATTACTAATTTCACAATTTTTGCGTCGAGTATAGTACATATTTTAGAAAAGTCTGGCTCATTATTACAACGACTAAAACTTGACTCAGAGGATGATAAAATATGTGATCAATCATTATTATTGAAATCAATTAAATCCTTTTGCCCAAACATTACATATCTCAACATTTCATGGATTGGATTTTCCACGCAACTTTTGGAACTTATTGGTAATTTACAAAAACTTCAATTTCTCACGTTATGGTACATCGATGACTTTCTAGAGCAAGAATTAAAATTACGAGTTAAGCAATTTGCAGAAATCTTGCCATTAACATTACAATATCTTGACTTAAGGTATTCTGGTTTGGATTCATATATTGATATTTTGCTTAATAATTGCTATGCATCTTTAAAAAATCTGTTGATTAATTGCCTTGATAACGAAAAAACAACCAAAGCGTTAATCGAATTTTGCAAACGGAAAAAAACTTTGAATTACGTTGGTGTAAACATATATTTTGATGATAATTTTAAAAAAGAAGCGGAAGAATATGTTACATTGGTGCCATTCCATCGCATTGTTGTTAATTGCTAATTTCCAAATTTAGTCGAGTTAGCATCATTTATAAAATTTTAAGCGCTGATATTTTAATACGCATTATAAATAAAATAGAGTATCGGAAAATTTTTATAAATAATATAAACGAATTATGTTCGGATAAGCATAATAATAGTACTATATTACTTATTTTGATCGAAAAAAATGGTATAATTGGCAAATTTCACCCTGTATTAAGGGTGTATAGCTTTTATGAGAATCGAGTACATACACTGTATTAGTTAAACGTCATTTTGTGATAAAATAAGTTAATGTAATATTTACATTTCTAGTGATTTATATTTATCAATTGCACTAAATGTCGTGGTCGAATTTGGTGCCCCGGGAATTCGTAGCGCAAGGTCAAGGTATCG